GGGTTGCTTGCCCCCACTCACCCAACCTCCCTCCACTCCTCCCACCCCTCCCACATTCCCACCCTTCCCACCCCCCACCGCCCGCCCACCCACCCGCCACCCCACCCTAGCGCGCGAGTGTGCGCGTTTTTGCGTGTTTGCGTGCGCGCGTGCATGTTTGCACTTTTGCGCGTTTGCGCGCGTGCTTGCGTCTGTGCGCGCGCTTGCGTGCGCCGCACGGGGGCACACACATAAAGCCAGTCAGACGAAAACTGCATCCGCGGCATCCCCTCTCAGCCCCACAGAAACCCATGGAAAAAGGAAGAAAAACACGTTATTTGCGGTGTTTTCCGAACAGTGGCGGCGGCCTCGCTTTCGCGCAAGCCCCGCTCACTTGATCGCAAACATGCCCGCTATGTCCCAAAACCTACTCTCATGGGGCCACTTGTTTGGAGGGTTGGGGCGATGCAGGGGACGCAGGGGAAGCCAGGGATGCTGAAAAGCCCGGATGTTGCTGACGCAGGAATGCTGGGGATGCTGGTGAAGTTGGCGAGGATGTAGAGGATGTTGGCAGGGATGCTCGTGACTGCCGGGGGGGATTTGCACAGTATTTAAAGTGCTTTTCAAGGTTGGGCAACGTGGCATCAGGAGCCTGTCGCAATGCCGGGGATGTCGTGGATGTCTTGGGATCCAAATGTCTGCGCTGGCCTGCGTCCGGGTGATGTTGGGGATGCTGAGGAGGAGCTTCTGGTGCAACAAAACACGTCAGCGGTATACCCTACAGTAGGGTTGCCCTCGCTCTTCGAGCTCGAAGACACACGGCTCAACTGGATTTTTAGTTGATCCTGAATTGTTGTTTGATGCGTATGCCACATAAACTGGGCTAAAGCCTATTTATTCAAAAGGACAACAAAGCGCTGAGCAGAAAACAATCAAGAACTAGGACTGGCAAAAACAAATGAACACTACAACACGCTGAACAGAACGCAAACAAGGTAGAGGCGTTGAAAAAAGACCAAAATGGTGAAAACCAACACGGCCCAAATTCACTCAACCAAGCAACAACCAGGAACAAATCAGAAACGGTGTCATTTTTCAGATCCCGAAACGGATTTCAGTTGTCCTTTTGGTTCTCCTTTAGACCCAAAAGATGTATCCCCCTTTCCAGTAGCACCCCTCGCATGGGTCCCAGGAGCCTGGTCTTCCAGGTACCCTCCCGCTATGTTGGGGTTGGCGGACGTGTACCCGTGAACAAAAATAAGCCAGCCCAACGAAAAACCAACGGGAAATGACTGAAAGAGATGGCCCTCCAAAGCTTGGTTCTCAGGGAATGAGTTGGAATGACCCCTCCCTTTACACCATTCCTATGGTTTGCTTGGGAATCCCAACCGGTTCATTCCCAAAGCCCAGAACTCACTCCCTGCATCGAGCACCAAGAAAGAGACATGTACCCAAACGGGCTTGATTTCTATTGCCCCGCCCTAAATAGCAAACCATGCTCAACCACCAAACAGTGCATGGTTGCTTACTGTATTACAGTGAGTTGACCTCCATACCCGTTAACCAAACCTCCAACCAGTCCTTGGCCTCTCTCAGATTTCGGCTTCTTTTTCAAGCGGAGCGTCGGCCTTATCACAGGCCACCTGGCAAGCAGGGCAGCGCTTGAACCCCATGGGCCGCAGCTGAAGCTCGTAGGCCGCCAGGTCCTTCCGCGGGAAATCCGTGCGCGCTTCGGGAAAGGGAAGTCGTTCGGGGAAAAAGTTTCGGATGGCTCAAGTTTCGGAGTCCAAAGGCGTGTCGGTGCTTCCTTTTTCTTGGGGGGGGGGGGAAGGGGGGGGAGGGGGGAGAGGGGGGAGGGGAGGGGGGGAGGGGAGGGGGGAAGGGCACCGACTTACTTGAACCGCTCAGGGCTTTTGGCCAGCTTGTGAGAGGGGATGTACATGGAGAGTGTCGCTGGAGGGTAGCGTTGGGGAAGGCTCTCAGGGAATCGAAGGAGAAAATTACAAACTTTGCGGCGGGGTCCGATGTTGACAAATACCCCAAACAAATGGCAGGGCAAAGGGAAGGGGGAGCATGAGAGACTAGACAATGACAAGCATGACAATGACAAGCATGTTTCTCCCATCATGACTTGGTTTGGCTTGATAGTGCCCCCAAATTACCGTTCTTGTACTAGTCATTTAGGCCCTTATCAGGGTAAGCCTCAATGTGCCAGAGTAGGAATTTCGGACTCACAACTGGTAGTTGTCCATTTGTTTCCCGTTAAACCAAGCTGAAAAGGGTACCAAGAAAACAACTAGAACTTTAAGCTGCGGGTGTTTTGAAGGGACAGTTTACCATCATCTTTGGGTGGGTGAAAATAGATGGCAACTCCCCTGTCCTGTGCCATCTACGTTCGCGCAACTGCACCCCTAGAGAACCAAGAGAGGCATGAGGGTTGCTCCGGCTGGGCCAAACACCAACATGGGAAAAAAAGAAGAAGAATAAGACTAAGAGTGGTCCTCCTTGCGGTTGTCCTTTAAAGCCACCAAGAAGGGGTATCCTCAAACAAAGATGCACAAACAACAAACCTGAAGGGTCTGTTGGAGGAAATCGCAGCCATGCGCTCTGTGCTGCCTGGCTTAGACGGACAAGTTTGCTCAAAAGTCTCCACCATTTCAATGTACAGAACGAGAACGGCCACATGATTGAATATTCATGGCTGCCATCAACTGTATGTTTAGCTTCACATCTAGGATGGTGACACATTGACAGAATCTATTCATCCGTCCATCCATCCGTCCGTCCATCCCTCCACCTTTATAGGAAGGGGTCGATGACTATCCCCATCTTCATTTGCAGCTCCACAAGCTTTAAGGATATTCGTGGCACATTTGCTGGCAAAGGCGCAAAGGAACTTGACTTCATATCCCCCTGGCAAAAAAATACTTGCAAGGATCCCTCCCTCCTTGATGATCTCTCATTCAAGCAGTTCGACTTCAGCACACATAAGATCGATGAACTTCATCAGTTGTTGAATCTCCTAAAGTTCAGAAAACGCCTTTCCACTGGCATAGGCTCCACAAACCCCCCCCCCCCACCCCTCCCCCGCACCCCCCCCACCGAAGCCGAAGCCTTGAAGCTCTCCCAGGCGGAACGAAGTGCCACGGAGGTGCTGCAGCGGTGGTCTGCGTTCCACATGTTCCCGCAGCTCAGGCAACGCGACACCTCCCGAGGTGCTTTTGGCCAAGGCGACGAATGTTTGGACCCTCCAGTCGATAGGCGCAAGCGCTTTGTGGCCTGGCTGCATTTGGTTGCGTTTGTGCTTTAGCAACCTGGTACTTGAAAGGGCGCACGTTGGAGTTGCAAATCGTTTGGCCTATGCCCTGAGGGTCCCAGAAATAGCGTGGCAGGAGACCATCTAAGGGCAGACCCACCGCCGTTGTTTGTGATGGTTTCTTCGCGTGGGCACACCTTTTTGAGGGTACCTGTCTTTTTTGCGTTTTCAAGAATACCCAAGGGAAAACCCACCATTTTGGGGGGGGGTCGCCTCAAAAACAGGCTATTTGGCTGCGCTTTGAGGGAACCCGCAACCAAGAAGGCCAGCCTAAAAGTTCATCAACCCGACTCGGATTCATTCTCTCTATTTCTGCACAGCCACCTGGCAGCTGCGGCAAGAGACCCGACCCTCCTGCCGCTGCGCAAGGCGACAAGGGGGGGGGGGGGGGGGAACGGGGAGGGGGGGGGGCAGGGGACCCTTGAAACCATAGGACCTTCTAAAATCGGGCCTTCAAGACACGTCTTGGGCGAATCCCTACTAATAAATAGTTCTTCCGTGGTTCAAAGGGGCTGTCAGTATCCCCTTAAGCCCAACTCGCAAAGAGAACGCTCGTAGTAATCACCTCCACGCAAGCTGTGCTGGGATCAGCCTTGCGAACAGTCAATCGAATTGTCAGGAGACGCGCCGTTCTTGGATAGGCCAGCCAAAACCCCCCGACAAACTGACGTGCAACCGCAGCAGTAACACATGTTGCGATGAGAGCCAGTCAGTCCAAGCAACCGCAGGATTGCTCAAGCTGCCAGAAGTCCTCTTGTTAACACCGTTGCGGTGTTTCCCTGACCAACCCCTAGTTTGATATGCTTGCGACGGTTGCTATTGTTCGTTCAAGGCCTTCTGCAGCCGTAGGCTGCAAGCCGCTGTTTGGGGATCGTGCATTCATTGTGCGCCTTCAAATGTGCCAATTCAGCGGATGGGACGGCACCCCCGTGAATAACCCCCGCCCCCCCGGCGTCCTCCAAGAGAAGATATTCGGTTCTGTGGCACTCCGGGCATTGAGGCAGCACGGACATCTTTGGACAGCGAGGACCGAGCTTGAGCCAACTGATGCCGTGTGAAACATCATCCTTTCTCTGGTATGCAAAATGTTGACCCCTTGTTTATACTGTAAATAACTACCCTTTTAAAGACTATCCCTTTTCTGAACCTTGTCAACCATTTTGGGGAAAGGTTACGGCATGACTACTTTGTCCCTTTGAAGTGGATTCACTTCTCACCAATGAGTGGCCTCATGTTTCACAGGAATATCTGGTCCCGGGAAGTGGCCCATGCCGGAGGTAACCTCTCAAATCTCGAATATCTCGCAACCGCAACCCAAAGAGTATTGGGCATGGCTCTCGTGTGTGTGTGTGTGTGTATCCCGCTTCGTTTTATTTAGTGCGCCCAAGCCATCCGTCTGCTTTTTGCTTGGAATATGTTGAAGACGTATCCGGGTGGATTTCAACATCATGCTTGTAAGCAAGCGCTTCTCACTGCTCATTCTCGTTGCAGTCGCTCGATTTCTCGTGCAAAGGTGGCACTCGGAATTGCCACCAAACACCCCAACCCCTGTAGAAAGCCGTGCTCGGGGCACCCTTCGCCTTGGAACTTGAAGCGGCTTTGCTTCTGGCCGGGTCGGCAAGGTCACTCAGCAAGTTGCCGGGGACAAATGTGGTGCATGTACCTTGAATCCAAGGTCAGCCCCTTCCCCCTCCGCGCCCCAGGCCTCGCCGAGCAGCAAGGCGAGGCCGATTTTCAGCGCCAAAAGAGCCAAGCCTGCAGGCACTAGCAGCAGCCTCCATCCGAAAGATCCCTTGGCCTTCCGCGCCATGCATGGCGCCCTGCCACCAATCGGGGAGAAGCAATGGGGAGATCCAGGGAGACTTGAGCGCTTTTGGTTGCTTTTGTGTTGAGTTAGTGTGGTTTTTCTCGGAAAGTCAAAAGGGAAACCAATGGGGGGGGGGGGAGGCTTTGACACATACCTTGTTGATCTCGCCTATACGGGCTTGGCCGCTGGCGAAAGTCCTAGAGGTATGAAGAGTGTGTCGCTTTTTGAGGGTACACTTTCTTGGGTGGCTTCAACGAAAACCAACAGGAAACCACCGTTTTCGGGCCCTCCTACTTTGAGACACACCCATACAGCTGTACGATTACATATCTAGCCGTGCGGCCATGCGGGAGTCTGAACCGCAGTCTGAGCCGAGAGAGTGCCCATCGTAGACTGTAAGGCACTTAGCTCAAGGCATGGTCTTGTCGTCTGACCTTCATGGCTCCGAATCCAAATAACTGGACATAAATCCAAACATGTCATGGTCCCAAAAATGCACACCGCTTTCCAACCGAGAAGAACAAATCTGGAGCCGGCCAGCAACGGGCCGCCTTTTCAAGACATTGCAGCTGCAGTAGCCTGTGGGGTGAAAGTCGCCTTTCTTTCGGCCCGGTTGCTGATCTGAACCCGATTTGGGTTAAAAGGAACCAGCGCCGGCACTGCAATTGCCACCCCGAGAAACTCACCGAAGAATTCGGGGCAACATAAAGGGGACTGTGTTTACGGCCTTGGGAAGCCTGGAGTCGGCTCCGACATCTTTCTGGAGCCGCTTTCACAGCGGCATTGGCGCTGGCCCGTCCTCGGCCTCAGACTCAGACAGGAAGGCCTCCTGATCAGAGCTGCCTGCGTCGGACACCACCTCCTCCTGCGAAAGGCCGACGCGGCTGCGGAGTCTGCTTGAGACAAAGCCGCCAAGGGGGGCTGAACAAAACGCAAAGCCGCAAACCCCCTCCTCCGCTGCCTCTTCTTCCTCGGGAATGGGCGCCTTTCCCACGGGGCAAAGGGAGACATGGGTGTAGATCTCGGACCAGGCGTCGAAGGGCATGAAGAAGCTGCCGTCGTTGCCTCAGGCGGCTTTTCCCCCCGGAAACCCCGAGCCCAGGAACTGGGATGCCACTTCCACGTGACGCGTTGAAAATCGCATGGCGAGCGTCGTGCAAACGGTTTGTGCGTTGCATGTTGGCAAGCGTCATGGGACTCTCTTTTCAGTTGCTTACACGCCAACTTTTGAAGCCATGCTATGAATTGTAAAGGTTGGAACCGATCCATAAGTGTCGGGTGGACCTTTTGTAGCCCGTCGAATTCCGATCCCCTAAAACTTCCATTTGACCTTCACACTTCCATTCTGGTAGCCCACTGACAGGTCGCCCTCTCTCTGTCTCTAATCTGAGCCTCGCGCGGTTGCCGGGATTCAGGCGCTGCTTCAGCTCCGGATTCTCCTCCCACTTCTTCCTGAGCGGCGAGGATCCGGAGGACTGTACTTATCAGGGCGGTTCCCCTTTTGAGGAAATGATCCACTTTTCGCGGCTCCTCACCCTCCGGATTCCGAAGTTGACATTGCCCGCGAGGGTCATGTAAAGGGTATATACCCTCATTTCCCCCCGGATTTCTCGTTTAAAAGGTCTGTCAGATCTGTCCACATGGGTAGTTTAGAGCTCTTCCTACCCGATGCCTCGAACCAAAAAGGTTCTACCAACATTGCTATCATACATACACGTACATAGTGTTTATTACAATCCATTAAGTGGGTAGAATCTACTGAGCTGGCCCCCTTTCGGGGTTTTGGGAGCCTTCATATTTACTCGACTCAGCCGTCTCTCCGCCTCACCAAAAGAAAGCATGCTCTCATACACACCCATACTGATGCAACTGTTCTTCCAGGCAACCAGGTCTGAAGTTGCAAAGGAGCGATCCTCTTGTCCCTCGCACGGAAACAACAAACGGGTGTGTCTAAATATATAGGGGACCCCCAAAATGCTGGTTTTCCTTTTGGCTTTCCGTTCGAAAACCACAAAGGAAGGGCACCCTCCCCCCCCCAGAAAAAGGAGAAGAAAAAAAGCAGAAAGATACCTTCCCAAACATCAATTCCATAACGCCAGAATGAAGCTGTGTCTCCATCGTCCATGACTCGATCTCTCGTTCGAATCGTGGAAACAGGTGGCTTCCTGTTGGTTTTTCGCTTGTTGTTTCCAACTTTTTCGGGGGGGTCCGCTTAAAAACATGGAACTCCGAAGAACCAGAGGCTTTAGCTCGTCACACCTTGGCTGAAGGATATGAAATTCCATCCAGTGCGCCACCAAGACTTCTTGTGCCCGTTGAGTGGTAAAGCCCAGCATCAAAGAACTAAGGTGCACCCAAATTCATGTAAGGAACTCGAGAACGGCCGCGTCTATGGTCCAACTATTCAATTTAGGTCCCATTCTTGCAAGCTTCACAGAATTTCATACTTGCAGCAAACACCCCCTGGAAAGTATAGGGTGTCTAAATGACTGTATTAGTTGAGGCCAACCACTTACAACCACCTCACAGAGTCACCTTGCAGAGAATCATCTCTGATGGTTCATATTTAGTCTACCATGCCTACCCTCACCATATTTTTGGGAGGACACACCAGCTTACCCCTCACCTGTGACCCCTAAGTTTCACTTGCGGTGCAGCGGCATCCCTTCAGAGCCGTCTTTGCCCGGCTGGTCCGCCCACTCGCCCGTCCACTCCTGGCGTCCGAGAAAATGTCCAGAATCGATGGCTTCCACTACCCGCAAAAAGGAAAACTCGGTTTGTACCCTTCACACAGTGACATGGTGGAGCTTTTGGGGGGCTGTATATCCCATTCAAATCCTGGGAGCAGTGACTTTGGACGGAAGTGCAAAGCTCCAGCCTAAAAATGGACATCAAAATGTCAAAAGCTGACGCTTCTAGGTCTAAGGGAGACTATGGCCCCTGGATCTTTGAGACGTGTTTTGTTGTTTTTTGATTGAAGGGGTTCCTCGTAATTTCGCCGGGTGAGGTGGAAGGGTCGGTGTCTTCCGGCTTCACCATGGGCACGGAATGTTCATGCTGTTTCTCAAACGGGTCACAGAAAGCACCCTGATGAAAGGTATTCTCAATGCGAAAACTAAGCGCTGCACAGGAAGCTATTTTTGGCCTACGGGAAACAGGTTCAGGTTTCAGGTGAGAAGCTGATGTTCGCCAACAAGCCAAGCTTGGTTTGGCAGGCAAGGAAAGGACTCAACCAAAATGGAAGTGACTCGTGTCGTTCGCCCCCTGGGCCCAGACCAAACCTTTCCAGCAACGTACCGGGCCAAGTTCGGCGCCCGAAGCATTCCGCGCCTTGTGCCCCCAAGGGTTGCGCAGCTGAACCAGCCTCGGATTCGCGGATGAAGGCCCGTCAGTATTGGGGTGGCCCTCTTTTTTTTAGGGTACCCTCAAGAATTGAGCCTTTGGGCGTGCAATCACTTGCGACAACAAAATTGCCATTTGGGTTCATACATGAACAGGCCCAACAGAGCGCAAAGCGAGAAACGGAGAGACTCAACTCTGAAGCAAGAATGGGATTAGGCATAGGCAAAAAACCAACATACAATACTTCCCCCAGATGCTTGCCATATGTCGGGAGTCAAAACCGTGCAATCGTGTGGGCCACTTGGTCAGCACATGTACATTCGTAGTTGATGTCTCGACAGTTTATCTCTTCTTCAATCACTAAATCAGCTTGCTCATCGGCCCCCCACAAAGGTTCAATTGGTACTGTACTCTGCAGGGAAATCGCAGGAGCACCGTTCTGGAGACTGGGAAATACAAACTCATGCGCATCTACCAAACCCCCAGACGCCGCGCCTCACGGGAGTGCCATCGTCGCAGGTTTCCGACAAGACCTCCCAAGGTCAACGTCAAACATCGCCTCTGAGATTGGCCAAGAGCGTCCGAGCTGGTTTTCACCACTCAAACAGTCTTCCCAACAAGTTTAAGAACCCAGGAGCTGAGAGGGTGAGTAAGCGCACTCGTGAGGGAGCCATGGGTGTGGATCAAAAATGGAGACCCGGCAAATGGAAACAAGGACCAACACCTGCCGGCCCCTGGTGGCTTAACTTTGACTCATACCCAAATATCCACACATTCCAGCACAAAGGGCAGCAATCTGACAAAAAAAGGCCAAATCAATGAAAGGACTGCATTTGTACGACATGCACTGTTGTCGCCTGGGCACTATGGTCGTCCAGGGCCGAAACCCCGAACACCCAAGTGGGTCGGCATGTGCTTTCCGCTTCAAAACCTGGACCACTGGATCAGGAAGCCCCTCTACCTAACAGCATATATCCGGATAGGTGAGCCAGGGTGTTGGTTCCGGCTCAATGGTTTGAATGGGAATTTCCTTGTGTGATGTTTAACGGGAAGGTGTAATTGAACTATGGGAATATGGCCGGCCATGATATTTTTTGGGGAAATGGTTTGGACATGAATCCCCGCCGAATTCTGATGCCCACCCCAAAGTATCAAAGGGTCTCAAATAGAATTCATGCGTCATGAAGTCCAACGACAACCTATGGAAGAACCCAATGGAAGCCAGTTTCGCTCAAAATTATGCTGGTTGAGTGAGGTATGCCTCAAACTGGGCCTAAAAGGGTGGTTGGCTTCCTTGTGGTCCCCTTTACCACCACATGGTTCCTGGTTCCCAATGAACTCCCATCTCAATTTTGCGGGTCATTTGTGGGAAGACAACAAAACCTTCTAACCGGCTCACGAGTCCCAAGATGTCCCAAGGCTCGTCTTTTTTTTCCGTGGCCTTCAGCAGGGAGTAGACGTGAAAGGTGTAGAGGCCGTTGGCCAGAGCCTGCTCCGCCCCAGACGACTTGCCGCTGCAGCTGCACGCCTCGGTGTCTCAGCTAGGGAAAGCAAGCCAAGCAGGGATCCTTACATGAAAAACACCTGAACATCCGAGGTGACACATTCAAAATTTGCCGCGGCGCAAGCACGTGCTGGTCAGCGATGTGGGTCTGGAGCGTAGTGAAGAGCTGTTCCTTGTCCAGTTTAGGCGTGCTCCTCACCGCAATGGGAGCGGTCCAACACGATGAATCCGACTCGTTGCCTATTTGCCTGGTGCCTTTAAGCCAAGCATGATTGTGTTAGCCAAGCTTGCTTGCTTTTAGGAGAAATGTGGGAACCAGCAGCCATTCCCAACCAGGATGCTTTTGTGTTTTGTAAGGTGGGACGGGAAGGGAGTATAACTGATTTCTGGCTGTAGTTGATATTGTTCGGATCCCCCACATCAGCTAAGCCATCCATATGAACATGTTTTGTGGTTGGTTCCTCTTTACATGGTGATCTTCACTTTCCTCCTGGAATGCTTGTGTGTGTGTGTGTGCGTGTGCAAGTGTCTCCGTGGTGTTTCTCCACTGTCCTTCAGTCGGGATGCTTCTGTGTGTTTTTGTTTCTGCCTGGCCAGGCGTTCAAATTGGATTTGCTGCAGTTGCTATCCACTCGCGTTTTGGCCTCCAATTCCTTCTCGGATTCCAGTCTATGTCAGCTGAAATGGGGTTTGAAGCTGGGATTGGGGTGGTGCAAGCTCTCTTTAGGCTTGGTGTAGGATGGGTTTACGCTCGGTGCGTTGTCAGCTTAGTGTGTGAAGATTTGGTTCTGGGTTGGTGGGTTGAATTGGGTTCGGTAAAGGCTTCCAGGAGACACCGCGGTGTGTTGGGCAAGTTTTTGGTGTAGGGTCGGAACCCGTTGGGTTGGATTATGCTGCGTTGATCTGGGCCTATTGTGCTCAGCACGCCTACCGAAGTGCACGGTCACAGGCTACTGCCATGCGGCCCTGTGTTTGATGGAGTTGCCCTTTCAGCCCAAAGAGGAGCCAAACCGCGAAAGAAAAACTGGTGGTTTTTCGGCATGAGTCTGGCCCAAAATCGGACCTCTTTGATCGTTCTGAAGGGAAATGGGAACGAGCCTGCCTCTCAATTTCGAGCACCCGCGTCCTATTCCAGGTCCAGGGCGCATTGCGAGGGCTGCGCGCCTTCGCCATCTGGCGCTTGCCTGAGACGAAGGCCGCCTCTTTGGTCCCGAAATCATCAGCTTGCTTAGGGCGGGTTCCAACTTACCCTCTTCTGCCATGTTGACCCCGGATGAAATCAACCCCTCCTACTTTTGAGGGGGCACACGCATGGACCAGAAGAGTGCCAACATGGAGCCACCAAAGACATGTGTAAAGTCCCGCGTTTCCCTGTCACGAGACATCCTTCCCTTGCTTGAGGTAGTTTTGCAATTCGTAGGGTCATGATTGGTTGATTCTGCATGAAACCTAGAGTGAACGGTGTGGGAAAGTCCGTCATGCAAATGGAATCGCGTCCTTATCTCTTGTTGGTGTCTCCGGGTGACAAAAGCAAATGCAGCGGCCGTTTGTGCCGCGGCCATGGCGACAGAGGTGACGACCAGAGACAATCCAACACCAACTTAGGCACCTCCCGGCCCTGGTCTGCTCCTATTTGGGTGTATCTGTTCTGGAGGGTAGCCCATTTGGTTGTTTTACTTTTGGTGGTTTTGAAAGGAAAACCACCATGTTGTGGGGGCTCCAAAAAAAGGACCCGCCCATTTGCAGCCGGGAGGGCGATTGATGCGGCGCAGGCGCCAGTTGCCATCCTTCTCCTCTCGCAGTTCGGAGACGACAGGCACACGGGCAGAGCTTGCACCAGCCGCCGACAACGGCACAGGAAATCTCTTGGCAATTGAAGCAATCACGGGAAAAAAAGCGAATATGGCCCAAGCCAAAGGGTAACCGCAAGAGGTCGAGTGAACAACCTATTCTAACTCAATAGGGCACGCCATGCTGCCTTTCTTGCACTCATTGCATCGTTCTCAAGCAAGAAACATTATAATCCAACATGGGTCACGTGAAAGGCCAACTATGCTATGTGAGACTCTCTCTCAATAGTTCAATGCCCTGCCCCGACGTATTGTTTGCGCCATGGTGACAACCGTGTGTGAAAACCGATCGAGTTGTTTTCTCTAGGGGCTGGATTCTAGAGGATACCCAAAGCGAAACATCTATGCCTACTGTCGACACCTGACGATGCTTCCAATCGCAAAGAAGCCTTCACCTACCCTAGAAAATCCCAGAGCAGGCCCTGCGAGGAAAAAGGAACGAAGTGGTCGCAAAACATCTGCAGAAACGTGTTTGAATCAGATTCGGACACCAACTGTAACCAAGAGTTTCTCAAACCAAAATTCATCAAAATCATTAGATCCTCAGGGGAAACGATAGGACAGTGTTTCGGAAGTGTCGGGGCTCGTAAATGAACACAAGTCTTCACTCAGCTGGCCATAGCGATGAGAATAATATGTGCGCAGAAGGATCACAGCAGGCCTTTGATTCGTCGCGCGGGCGTAAGACACGGGAGAGGTGGAGAAGTGATTGTCCTTTGTGGTATGTTTAGCTTTTTGGGTGCTGGTGGACCTCTTTATGGTCGGCAGTTACAGAGAAACCGACGAAACCTTAGGGGCCCTAAGGGGACTATCGTGAAAAACACACCATATGCCGAGTTCGTAATTAAGTCTTGCAGTCTAGTTGGCAATGCTTCGCACGTGAGCTTTTGCATGACACAGGCCGTAACCACAGCTGGAAACAACCTGAATGTCAAAACCCGGTGGTCCCAAAATGGGCCACCCCATTTCGGATCAAGGGAAACCCGGAGGCAAGCTGAAGCTAGCAAGTGAGAGAGCCCGCAGGCGGGCGAGATTGAAGTGTGAGGACTGCGGATCGCAGTTCGGGTGAGCCGGGCAAGAACTGGAGTTGCGAAGGGCGAAGAGGAACAAAACGCAGCCGTAATGCAAAAGTGCGTGGGCCCCCCCACCAGCAAACCTAAGGGTTGGGTAGCAGCAACACCATGTGATGCTGCATGTCAGGAACCAATTCGTATTCTGAATGCCAGACAGTCCAGGAAATCGAGGGGGAACAATGGTGGCTTCGGAGGTCTAAGCTGATATCCATTGCCAACTCCTACGAGCCCTGGGCGTTCGTTCCGAACGTCGGGCTCTGCCGACTCCGTCCCTGGCGTAGGAGATGACTTTGTGCTCTCCGGTGAGGACCTGAAAGGCCCACGCCTCGGAGATCACAACGGAAGCCACGGTTCGGATGTGGGGGCGATATAGATGCATGTGTATATATATATACATATATATATATGTATATGTGTATAAATATATATATATATATATTATGTTGTATATATATTAATATATATATATGTGTGCAGGTATGTGTCAAAATATACAGGGGGACCCCAAAAATGGCCACGATAGACTTTCCGTTTGGTTTGTCTTTACAGAAAAACCTAAGAGAGAACCCAGCCTCGAAAAGCACATGGCAGATCTTCACTGTTTCGTCCGTGGCCATGGACCCCTCGCTGAAGGACACCCCGATCTCAACCACAAATGCACAGAGGTCGCCCTTTTCCACCACGAGCTGTTTAAATCAAGACCACTGGATTTGACGCTTCGAACCCAATGCAGTTGTTGCAAAAGCCCATGATTCTGGCAATCGGGGAATCTTTGGTGGTTGCTTCCCGTCACTGAAGCCCCCTCAAAGTTCCCACCGTGCAAAGAGGCTGCTTCTGGAAGAAACGAAAATGGGTCTCCTGGAACCTGAAAGCAGGGGTCCACCACTTTTGAGCCCATTGGAGTTCATAGCCAAATGGGTCAAGACCCCCCCCCCCCTCCCCTTTGGGGGGAGGGGGGGTCCCTCAGAAAAGGACACACCCAAATGGTTTTCTCTCCACCTTCCATATTGCATGCAATCTGTGTGCTCGAGCCCCACATATTTGACGCAAAGGGGTTCTCCCACGCCCGCCGTGAAGTACTGACAATTGAGAGGCCGATGTCACATCTGTGAAACCTGCTTCGTGGAATCCGAGGCCCCATGGAAGCTCATGCATCCTCTCCCCTCCAAAGCCTCACAAGGGGAAGATTGAATCCAACCTGAGTCAGTCACCCAGAAAAGAAGGTACCCAAAAACGATTGCGCATTTGATTTTCTGGCTCCCCCAACCTCCCCCTCAAGATCCCATCCCAGAAGATCCGGAGTCACAACGACCCGCCCTCCCACAGCCGGCCCTTGCCGGGACTTTCAACAGGGAGCCCTCCTGGTGAAAAAGAACAAGTCGGTAGACAAACGAGTTGCTCAGCTAAAAGAATTGGAAGCCTCCCGTAATCCACTGAACTGGGATTGTATTTCTGTCGACCGAGTCGGCCGTGGAAAGTCATCCTTTCTGTACCAATGTGGGATGGGGACTAATTTGTTACGGGAAAAAACAAACAAAAAAACATGTAGTATATAACCGCAGCAAAAAAGGAAAAAACGCGACGAGCGTTGCCAACCCACTTTATTGTCCAACGCTTTGCCTCGTCCCCGGATCCGCACCGATCCAAAAAACACGTGCAGCCCCTCGCAGCGAAGGCGCGCAGCCGCCCCCGGAGAGGTTGCCGTAGGACCCGCAGAACTTGGCGAAGGCCTTCTCCAGCAACGCCACCCAGATCTCCTCCCCCAACGGCTCCGCCTCACGAAACGCAAAAAACCTTCACCTTAGCCCCCCCCCCTCCCCCCAACCCTTCTGGGGATGGTGAATACTAGGGGCATCGTGGCTATTTTGCAGCCTTTGTGTCTAATTGATTTTTAGGCTCGAAGTCCCCCCCCCCCTAGTTGATGGTTTGGAGCTGGGTGGTTGGAGATTTGAAATGGGTTTAGGGTTAGATTTGAAATGGCCATCCTGTTCAAATCAACATTTCGCAACAATCCAAACCACCAAAGATCAACATTTCGTGGAAATTCCACGCTCGAAAACGAACTCGCGATGCCTGTCTATTTGGACTGATGGTCATTGCTAAGGTCCCTTTTTGGCTGGGTGTTTACCAGTTGTTGACCCTGCCTAAAAAATGCCACCTGACAGGGGTTCTCCAGCTATGTTTGCAGAGTTCAGGGTATTCCCATGTTCAACCAGTGGCTTGGCAAGCAGTTGTCTTTGTTTGCCATGTCCAAATCATGCTCTTGTTCAACCAATTGATTTGTTCGGACATTCTGCTACGTTTTAGGCACTCTTCCACCAATTAACATGTGACTGGGGGTCCCTTGAAAAGGAAATGGTCTTCCCGGACCCGCCTGTCAGGTTCCATGTTAATTGGTGGGAGGGGAACCCTCGCAAGTGAGAGAGTGACAAATGCCCTGGCCACTTGCGATTAGGCCGAAGACGGCCTGATGGACATTGGCAAACGTCTGTCATGAGCAACACGTCGTGAACCAAGAGACAAAGTTTGCGGAAGGGACACACTCGGCACCCCATACTTCTGGGAGTGTCTGATGTACCCCTCACCAAAAGATAGATGCGGCTGAGCGGCGAAAATTGGCTTCGGGCAGCCGTTCCAAGTCTTGCACGGCAGGAACCTTGGCACGATTGGACATCGAGCTTCAAGCCACTTTGGCTTCTGAGGTGATGAGCGCGTCCGAAAGGCCCCCGATTCAGTCTTCGAGACTCCGCCATATCAACTAAAAGAGGGGATGTCACTGCGCATGCGGAACCCGAGATGCCAGATGCCAGCAGCTCTCTCGAAATGGGAGTCGGATCTTGGATGCAAAGCCATTTCTATGGGGTCCTCCATTTTGCATACCCAAAAGTCGCCCCTAAGCACTGTACGACAAAAAAACGACAAAAAAGGGGGCTCTCAAATAATCCACCTGAACATTACGCTGGTCTGATGACAAAGGTCATGTTTTGGCCAAGCTGTTTCTTTTCAGGAGCCTGTGAATGGAAAAACATGTTTGTCAAACTCTTGGGATTCTTGGAATAGTGCACAAATTCGTGACAGCAGCTCATCGATGATGACGGGGGTCCACTTCAGCTCTACCACATCGAAGAGATAGATCTCGCGGGCTTTCCGATGTTTGAGCACGGGGTGAAGCCCTTCTCGCTTTGAGCAGAAAACCAACCATTTGGGAGTTCCCCTATTTTGAGACATACCCACACGACCTTTACCATCAACCTAGTGACACCCAGGTAAAACCATCTTGGCCGGTGGCCAAGGGTGTTGGGCTCTCAGGACATGACTTAGAATGACCCCAATGAACAAAAGACCATCCCTGTCATTCCTTGGGACCCGCAAGCTTGCGGTCTCGGGTCAAATTCTTCGTTCAAGGTGAAGGTGGGCGTTACAGCAGGGCTACAGCTGGTGGGTCAGCTTGGGGATGGTTAAGAGTCTCGGTTTAAAGCTGCCAGTTCAGTTTGGGGCTCGGGGGTTGGGTTGTCGGCTCAAGGATCTGTGAGCGGAGATTGCTTTCTGATCAAATGCCCCAGTTCCTTTTCGGAGTGGGTGATCTGACTTGTAGCGAATGCAAAAGTGAGAAGCCGACTCCGCCGTGCCAGCAATCAACATTTCTGCCAGGATAGATGTCCACAAGCCTATCGGGCCTATCGCAGAAACGTACATGCCCATGTTTCAGCGAATCTCACATGCCACTCGCATTTGGGCCAAAATGAACTTAACAGTGTCATCCAGCAATTTCGGCTTGACTTCTGTGAAACTCACATGTGCCTGTGTTTGGTGGAGGCTACCGTTTTGCGTCTGATTTGCTTGGGAAAACAAGAAGGAAAAGCCCACGGGCCCCAAAAAGGTACGCCACATGTGTAAAAACCGGCGGAAATTCACGCCTTGTACTTCCCGTCTTCAGTGATCTGCTTGGACTCGAACAAGCTCTTGAGCTTCTTAGGGTGCCCGGCCAAACCTCTGCGCTTCACCGAAAATGCGCGCGGGAACGCTTTCAACTTGCCGAGGGTTTTGGATGCCCCGTCAAAAAGAGTTTCGAAGCCTCAAGATGGCTGGAAGTTGTCCTGTTGGTTTCCAAAACCAACTCTATCTAAAAAGGGTAGCAACTCAACAAAAAGGAGCCACACCCATGTGCAACGAAATGGGACACAACTGGTGTGATCGCTTCGTTGGACGGAGAACTGCTTTGCTATTTACCTAGTCAGAGCATGCTCAAGCTGTGTGGATTGGTTCACCACGACACCATGGGCCTCAAGCTGGTGAAATGCCTCCCTTACCATTGGGATGTCGGCAAAGATCTGAAAGCGTCGTGGGCCGTGTCCCAATTGAAAGGGTCCACCTGAAACAAAAGAAACACCTCAAAATCCTCCCTTATACTTCGCGCTGAGACAAGCTAAGGCCCATCCCAACAGATTCGACCGGGCATGCCGGCGCTTAGTGTTGCTGCTCGCTTCTTCGCCACGGCTTTTGGCCCCCCAATTCCCCAGCCCCAAGTTTCTGTTCACCGTTGAAACGGCTTATCTGGCATCCTTCAGGTTGATGTCCGCCCACGATCCGTCAGCACGACTTACCCCTTTTAAATAGGTGAAAAAGACTGCCAAATGCAAAACGAAACCCAAACCCCCTCTGTCAGGCAAAAACTGCTTGTGCTGGCCAGCCAATTATGTATTCCACTGACTATCAATCCCGCTTCCATACAAATCACAGTGCCATCGAATGTTGCATCAAGTCAACTTCAGATCCATGTGCAGGAACATACAAATCAAGTGACCCACCTCCATTCCAGTTTTTTAGGGGGTTCACGGAGTTCCTCTTGTTCCCTCCCGTCGATGGACAGGTTCTTTGCAGCAATTGGGATGGATAAAGCCCTGGGACAAACCACCCAACCCCAACTGTTCCGAATTGGACTCTCGTCCATCCGCAGTGTCCTTTTGGAAGACCAAAGTCTCAGCCACCCAAACCACCCCCCCATTCTTGTGTGAGGCCCACGTGTTTCTTCGTCTCCAAAGAAAAAAAACAATCCCACCGAACCGAGCCGAGCGGCAGCTCAAAGCGCTCATCAGCCAGCAGTCGCCTCAACGACCCCAAAGTGGGTTGAGAAAACGACCTCTTTTTGGGGCGTCCCCTAGGGCGTTCCACCCGAAGGAGGGTTCTCCAAGAAATCGACGCACGCGTTTTGGAGGGTGGTTGGGAAGCGGAAGCCAAAAGGAACCTAATTGTTGGGGCTCTAATCCTACTTTGAGACAAACCCCTTTGGTGCTTCTTGCAGCCTCAAAATAAGGACGGAGCGGAGTGTTGCGCGCAGTTTGCAATCCAACATGAAAGCAACTAATCACAAGCGGTCCAGACCTGGCATCATTGTTCAGGGATACCAGCCAGCAACACCGCCAGCCATCAAAAGTCCAAAACGAAAATGGTGGGTCAACCCTTCTCCCGCCCTCATTGCTCCCTCCCTTCCTTCCCCCTCTTCTCACGGTTGTCTGGCGTTCATTTATCAACCGCTTTCAAAGACCCCCCGTTGAAGCACCCAAAACCCATTGACTCAAATGAGTCTTCCAAGATTGCGGAGGCTCGACTCAAAAGGAAACTCCTCCATGCGGAGTTGACGCCCGGCTCTCCACTGGCCCCAGGTTCGGCGCAGGTGCTTTTCGTCCCCTTAAGCACCCTCACTCAGAATGCAAGGACCACGCTTGGGCGAATCAGCTTGCTCAAATCGAGCATGTTTGGTTCAACCAACCTCCGTTTGCCTTCGCTTACAAAGCCATGGTTGGTTTAAACATTTGTCAACCCCACCTCATTTTCTGCCAATCCCAAAAGCCCAGGAGCCCCTGCGTTTTACTCTGCCAGATTAGGAGGGATTTACAAGAGGGTGGCTTCCTTGGCTTCCCTTCAAGCCAAAAAATCGTGCCCTGACCCCCTAAAGCAATGGCCGTCGGTTTTTGTTTGGTTTCCCTCTCCAAAACGGTCCCCCAAAAATCTAAGACCAAGTTGGTGCCTTGTTTTAGCTCACGGCGCCGTTAGGCACGCGGGAGAATTCTTCGTTCTTTCATGTTTTTCGCTCCTTCACAAACAAACTCCGCTACACAACCGCCGTGACCTTGTTTTAGGCGACCTCACCCACACCTCTGGTTCCTTGTCCCGTCCTGTGCCTTTTCTTTTTTTTGGTGGAGCTTCCACCCCAACCGCGGGATCCGGCGGAGGTGCCCACAGAGCCCTGGTGGATGTCCTGGGGCCTCACCTGGCGCTCGCTGAAAATCCGGGAAGGGAAGGAGAAGTGGGACGACCAGACCAAAACCCGAAACCCAGGTATTCGGTTTCAAGGACACCCAGCCCTAGGAAAAAAAACACACAAAAGCCAGGAGTTTGGTGTCCTTTCTTCGGGAATCGAGACCAAAACCCGAAGAAGAAAAAACATGGCTCTCTTCGGGAATCCCAACTTCCGGTTCATTCCCAAAACCCGGAAGGGTCATTCCCTACCTATCGCTGGAGTGGTTCGGTGGTGTTCCGGGGCGGTGAAACCCATTTACCCTCTACAAGAAACGGGAACCGGTTCAAACCCCCAAACCACCAATCCGAAACCACCAATTAAGGGCTTTCTGATCAACTGGTCTCCAACCGTCCGCCGGGCTCCAAACCACCAAGGAGACGAAGCCTGAGTTGTTTCTCAACTTTTTGCTGGCAAAAAGCGGCAACCTTATCTGGGAGTTCACATGGGTTGGCAATTGGCTTCACCCCTCACCTCGGTAAACATGGGTTGGAGGGGGAAAATGTAACCATCTGTTCAGTTTATCTTTTGGGCTTCAATGATAACCCCGGATTAATAGACCCCTGAGTGATTACTAGGTCCCCTTCTTCCAGCGGGAATTCACACCACTTTTGGAGGGAACACCCCATGAATGGAACGGGTTCTACTCAGATCCGGGGTCGTCCGGGGCCGGGTGACACTTGGCCCACCGAAAGTTCTGGTTTGAGAAGGTGGATGCCAGCAGGTCGACCAATCGCCATGCTCATGGAATGACATGGGAATCTGGGGACCTCTGATTGGGGCTTTCCTTTTGCTTTCCTACATCCCCAAAAGGAGCCCCTAATGTTAACTTCGGATTGATCCGGAGGATCCTGCTCTAGTTAAAGGAACGCCCCCAAAACAGATCGTTTCCTTACTACACTGGGAGTCGCCCAATAATACGTCGTGCGCTCCGATTTTCTTCCAAAGTCACCATCAAGCCATTTGAAACCCACCCTTATGGAGATGATCCCCCCCCAAAAAACAACAGCAACCTACAATCTTCTGAGGCACGGCGCTGCCGAAAGCGCCGAAAGCGCCGAAAGCGCCGAAAGCGAAAACCGGAGAAAAACCGGAGAGAAACAAAAAAAGGAACTCCGTTGCTTCCGGTCGCCTGGTCAAAGAGCATCGCCTCCGAGGGGTCCCCGAGCATCCGGGCGCGGACCCACATCTCACCTCGCGAGGCTTTGAGCCGAGCCCCGAGAAAGCTCCGGGCAAGAGGACCTGAACCGAGCGTGGTGGTTTGGATTCCTTTTTTGGATTGGTGTTCGGCGGGGGGGTCTGCGAAGAACTAGGGGTTCGAATCCCCAAGCAAATAGGGCAGCCACAAGCCACAACAACAAAATAGGGCAGCCACAAGCCTAGGCCGTGGAACCCAAATTTCGGCACTGGGATCGGAATCTCCTCTTTTTTGGAAAGAGAATGAAGCATGCGAACCCTCACCAATCCCCAGGCCCAAGGTATCTTCGGCAATTGGCTAACTCCCTACGCGAGGGCCGTGTCGGAACCTTGACACTGGAAATCCCGAAGTCCATGACCATCCCCACCCGCAAGGAAAGGAGATCTTTCAACTGCACATGTCAATGTGGGTCCTGGGTGTGGCTCCTTCTTTGTGTTCCTTCCCCTTCAAGGGGGGGGGGGGGTTGAAGGGAAACCAAGAGAAGCACCACCATTTTGTTTGTTTGTTTGTTTTGTTGTTGTTGCTTGCTTGCTTGCTTGCTTGCTTGCTTGCTTGCTTGCTTGCTTGCTTGCTTGCTTGCTTGCTTGCTTGCTTGCTTGCTTGCTTGCTTGCTTGCTTGCTTGCTTGCTTGCTTGCTTGCTTGCTTGCTTGCTTGCTTGCTTGCTTGCTTGCTTGCTTGCTTGCTTGCTTGCTTGCTTGCTTGCTTGCTTGCTTGCTTGCTTGCTTGCTTGCTTGCTTGCTTGCTTGCTGGTTTGCTGGCTTGCTTGCTTGGTTGCTTGGTTGCTTGGTTGCTTGGTTGCTTGGTTGCTTGGTTGCTTGGTTGCTTGGTTGCTTGGCTGCTTGGCTGCTTGGTTGCTTGGTTGCTTGGTTGCTTGGTTGCTTGTTTGCGTGGTTGCTTGGTTGCTTGGTTGCTTGGTTGCTTGGTTGCTTGGTTGCTTGGTTGCTTGGCTGCTTGGTTGCTTGGTTGCTTGGTTGCTTGGTTGCTTGGTTGCTTGGTTGCTTGGTTGCTTGGTTGCTTGGTTGCTTGGTTGCTTGGTTGCTTGGTTGCTTGGTTGCTTGGTTGCTTGGTTGCTTGGTTGCTTGGTTGGTTGTTCGGTTGTTGTTGTTTTTTTTCTGGGGGGGGTCCTCCATTGACCAAAGATGGCACCCGATGTTCACCCAGCCGCACTTGGAGCTGCACTTGAACTTGGTGCTGGACTTCCCGATGCTCTCCTGAATGCCATTTTTGGCAAAATTGGCTCGACCAAAAGTGGGCGCGGAAGAATCAAGAACTGCATGATGTAGAGGTTTGTGTTGTTTAGGATGACTTTCCTCTGGCAATGGATATGGGTGTGTCTTTGATCAGGGGTTCCCCCAAAATGAGTGATTTTCCTCTCGGTTCCCTTTTAAGCCCACAAAACCAGGGTACCCTCAAAACAGGGCATATGTTCAAAGGTAGGAATCCACGGCGCACAGTCAGAGGAACCCCCTCAATCGATCATTTTCGAGTGCCTGAAAAAACATGTCTTCCGGATTCCAACACCCTAAAACGAGGCCATTTGAGAGACCCACAGAAAAGAGGAAACCTTGTACAAACCAGCGCGGTCGCCACTGCTCACGGAAGCGGGCTCGGAGCAAGCTCGGAGCGGTCTCGGAACAAAGCACTTCCACGAAGGGCTTCGCAAAATAAGGGTTGATGGTGGTAACCTAGCGTCCCACTTTGGTAGGCCTTCCTCCCCCCAATGAATCCGCTTACATTGTCTCGCTTTTGTCAGTTTGTGAGTGATCCAAAGTAGTGAAAGGGAAAACAATGTGCCTGTCCCACCTCTTTTCACGATTCCTTCTGATAGATTTTGCGAAAGTAGCCTTTTTCTCACAGGTGATTTTGGACAAATACATGGGTAAACCTGTGCAATCTATTTCTAACCAAACCAACCTAAAAAGGACACGCATGCCTTTTGCGTCTCGTTTTAGGCCTTTGATGCCGTCTGTTGGTTTGGTCTATACATTCAGCACAATAAAACTATGCGCACTCTCCACGACGAACTCTGCGCTTGCAAGCAGGGGAGACGCATCTCTGCAAGTCCAACCCTGTCGATATTGACGCTTGCATGCCGGCACAAAGGCAACCGGTGCGAAGTGGACTTTGTCCATCTACCGGAGCCCTGGTGTCTGATTTGGCGTTCAAAAAGGAAAATGGTCGAGAGGAACTATGCTAGCTAGCCGTGTCCTTTTTGGGGGACCCCAGTAATTGTAATTTTCCTTTTGGTTTCCCTGAAAACCACCAACAGAAGGGGCACCCTCAAAAGAGACACACTCAAATTAATAAGCGCCCATAATACCATCAGATGGGCAACCCTTCGTCTCCTCGTTCGGCCCGAACTCGGGGTCCGAGAATGCGTTGGACAAATCATCCTCAACCTGAATTCGAGAAACCCGCATCGAAGTTACTTCCTGAGTGGATTTGCAAAAACACGTAAAGCAGCGTTTACTTGCCACCAAGGACTACCAAAAACACCGTCGAAAGTGGGCAAAGTAACTTGGAACTAAAATGGGGGGAATCCCAATCGAGAATCCGTTATGGATTTTGCGGATCCAAATGCAAGATTCAGGTGGGTGCCCCACATTGAATGTGAGTTCAATCTCAGCTTCCATGACAATTTGTCCGTTCATGTTTCAAGTGCACGAAAATGCTGGTTTGCACAGTTCGTTGTCTGCCCGGATGAGTTTTCACAGTTGTGCAGCGGGGATTAACAAGAGTGAAAAGTTGTCCTTCCAGTGTACTCAAATGGTGACCAAACCGCACCGCGCCCTCTCGAGGAACCGATGGACGCGGGAGACGTGGTCAAGATTGTTCTTCTTGCAAGAAATGAATGACTCCCCCAGTATGTGTTGGTGCTCATGAACCCTTGACAGGATCTCTTGGTAGGGCACGATTGGTTCACACAATCCTTGAGAGACCTCTTGAGAGGATCTTCTCTACGAAGGACCAACACAAAATATCGATGGGAGGATCTGTACAGGCTCTTTGCAGGATCTCTCTTCGTAAGATGTCTGGGTTGTGCGCTGGGTCCATGAGAAGATCAGCTACATACAATTTCTCTGTTCAAGATCTGTAGGAGCATCCTCTACAAGTTGCCTTGGAGGGAAATCTTTTCCAGGTCCTGCGCAAGAGGTCTTGAAAGGATCCCTACGAAGGACCAGCGCAAGATGTCTTTGGGGGATTTTTACAGGATCTCCTGGCAAGATCTCTTGATAGGAGCTCCCCACCCACCAGCCTCGCCGGAAGAATAAACAAATCTGCATTTGCACACCATCCAGCTTGATTGACTTGATCAACGTCAACCCTAATCCTGGCTCAAATCTCTTAAAGCCCCAGCGATCTTCCCGCTCTCTGCAAAACAAAATCCTCACTTCCCCGCGGACCAACAGAAACAAGCATCTCAGCATTTCACAACCCAGGCGTTGCGTTCCAACGAAAAAGTTCTCCGCGCTTCCGCCACCCGCCCCACCGGCCGCCCCGCCCTGCTGGTCGAGACGCGCCGGTGAAGTGGGAGCGGCTGCTCCAGCTCCAGCTATAGGTCCAAGGCCGCTCCTTCACGACCAAGAAGGTCTTCTCCACCTCCGAGCTTCCCGTTTCGTAGCAAATCGTAGCAAATTCGTGATAGGTTACAACCATGGAGATATGTGGGCCAACGGCGCTTTATTCTTAGGAACCATGGTTGTGACAAGCTATGACCTAGTAAGTTGGTTGGACATCAAAGTAATGCTAGCTGCTAGACCTTTTCCTCTGCCCTGACCCGGAAATGAAAGGCGAGCAGCTTGTGGAATCTTGCCGACGGTCCAAACCAGGAAAAGCTTTAAACTGTGAGACTCTATTGATATGACAGACAAACACAAATACAAACAGACAAGGGGCCAAACAGACAAGGGGCCAAAAAGACGAAAGAAAGAGACAATCGGCCAAATGGACAGCCAAAGAGAAGCGGACCAAACACACAACAAAACAAACAAAACACTTCAAACACTGACCTAGACATGCACTCTTCCCACCTGCTCCCCGGGCTGGAGGATCAGAGTGACGGGGTTGCCCTCTGGGTAGTCCATGCCTTTACCTAAGAACAGTCTCTGTGATCTTCCCCCCACCCCCCCTCCCCCATTATATGCGCCATGGTCAAAACTCCATGGAAGTCAGTATACCGCTCGCGCCCGCCTCAAGTCACGACAAGTTGAAGGGCCTACGGCCCCGTAAGTAGCAGGGCGAACTTGAGACTCCGGGTCAAGCTTGTTCTGCTGTTTGAAGACTTTCCGCGGATACAGAATTGGGCTATTCGGTTTCTGACACCTTCATGACGAACCGACATGACGAACCGACATGACGAACCCAACTTGGAGGGGATGATGCGTTGCGACAGAAGCCCAATAGACTGAAAAGCAACTCGTGCAAGGCGCCAGCCGTTTTTGGGCGAGCCTCCAACCCATGAGACTGTCTCCGCCCTTACAACAAGTTGACAGTCTGAGATCCCGGCGAGTGTCTTGGACTGAGTCCGGCTGACCAAAAGCTATTCATGTTGTTCGTCCTTGGGCAACAATGTTCCAAAAACCAAAGCGATTGCTCAAACCAATGGACAACCAGCCAGAGGTGGATTGCCAGATACAGGTTTGTCTCAAAATAGGGAACCCTCAAACTTGGCACTTGTCCTTTTGCTTCCCTTTGAAACTCCAACCCGTATTTCTGTTGGGGTACCTGTCAAATCCACCTACCCCCCTCCAAATTCCTTCTTAATCCTTTCGAGCTCCCGCCAGCCGAGTTGCACTTCTTAAAAGTGAAGGTGAACTTCTTCCCCGCGCGATCTGAGGGATTGGTGATGGTGAAGTCAAGCGTCGTGCCCGGGGCGTTGCTTCCATTCTTCCTGATATGGGACAACTATGGGTGTTTAGGTGCGTGGTTGCTTGTGTTTGAGTGTGTTTGTCTATATATATATATATATATGTGGGTATGAATTGTAATTGACCCTTTGGTGGACACCATTTAGGTGGGGACTTATGTCCACCAATCACTTTTCAGAAGGTTCCACAGGTTTTTGCGTTGAAACCGTGCGGGTTGCAGACAACATGGAACAAATCGCACGCCACGTGGAGCCACTTGGCATGTTGAAAGGAGCGCGCGCGCTTCCGGGGATCTACATTTGCCATCTGGAGACGAGGGGCTTGCAGGAGACTTTGGGCTTCTGCTGCGTGAGCCAAGAGATGAACTCATGCACCTGGAGCTGCCCGTCCTGGCGCTGGCAAGGTGCACCAAGAAGCAAATGAGGCGAAAGGCAGCTGAGGCAGAAACCATGAAGATTACGAAGCTTGGGAATATGTGGAGATCGAAGTTCCCCTTCCACAAAGCTGTCTGCTTTGTCCACCCGCTCGGCCAGCGAGGGGCTCTCCTTTCGATCCACGGCTGTGTTTGAACTAAGGGCCCCATGAGGTGGGACAGCAAGACCCTCTTTAAAGGCAAACCCAAGGAAACCAAGAAGGGATCCCAAAATTTTGAGACAAACCCATGGACCCTTTGGCAGCCCCCTTCAAAGGGAAGGGGGGGGGGTGCACGAAATTCATGGTATCGTGATGCAAGCATGGGCCAGTTGACAACACGGAGAGCTACTTGGGTTGAACAAATGCCAATGAACGACACACGTGTGTGAACCCCAAGAAAGCGGTTGGTGGACAGACAACCCCACCTAAATGATGTCCACCAGAGAATCCCTAACTAAAATTCATGCCCACACGCTTCTCTGCCCACACGAAAACAGCGCCTCCAAGCCAGACAGAAGAGGCCTCGATCGAAACTCACAAGTCCTCGTTGGCGTCCGCAGCCTTGAAAAGAGCCTCGGCGTTCCTTAGTAACAAAGCGCCGACCCGCACCACCCATGACTTTTCAACATGTGTATGTGTGTCAAGAATGGGTACCGGGTACCCAAAACGGAACCCTGGTAAGCAGCTCCTCCTATGTTTAATTTGAGCTTGTTGGCCGAACACAACGCCAAGCCCTTGGCATCTCGCAATTGCGGCTTCGGAAACCAGCTCGGCGCTTGAACTTTCGGCCTGTCGGTATCCCGCCAAATGGAAGCCGGAAGTCGCTTGGGGCAACTGGAGCCCGCTCTTATTTCAGAACATGGCAGAGGCGAGAACCAACAAGTCAGCTTCGTAGGGGGCCTGTCCTTTTGCAGTTCCAACTGGGCACATGCCCGCGAAACTCACCAACTTGCAATATTTTCAAAATGACTCCAGCCCACAGAGCCCGAGCGGCTTTTTGGGAATTCTTAGAGCCTCGAAGACTGAGAGCATCTCCTCCTCACTCAAGACACCATCCCCGGAGGTGTCATACCTAACGGCGCAGGCATGAAAGCAGCCAGGTGGCTGTCAAGTGTGAAGTTCAACTCACTGCCCCCTGCCCTTCCCCCGCCCAAAAGACAACTCACCCCAAAGGATCTGTAAGATCCTACTGTCTGATTGATCAACTGTACTGGAAGCCTCTGGCACATGCTGGCACATGCATTGTTGGCATTGGTGCTCGCTGCGGTTCTGCATCTTGTGAGCTGTGAACATGGACCGAGGTGTCTTAGTGAAACTATCGACTCACTCACTTCAGAAAAGATAGTCTATGAAGGTGATATCGCACTTGGAACAGTCTTGTAGACAATGACATGAGGCCAAAAAGAAATCATCTCATGAGGATGTCGATTGGTTTGTTGTATTGTCGCGCCATTCACAATTGCGCATTTGGAAACTGGCCATTGTGTAAGGAAACATATCATATCTTGTGGCCTTCAGCGCCACTGCTTGTTGTAGTAGCCCTTGCTGTAGCTACTCTTGGATGAGCACACCTTTTTCCACCCCTCGCCCGGAAAGTGTGAAAAGCATCATCTACGCGCAGAGGCTACGTCATCTTCATCATCATCGTGATCATTGTTTTCATTGCTGGACGACACCTTTCTGACTGCGAACGCATCATGATCCTCGAGGGCCCAGAATTTCTCCTCATCTTCGGTTCCCATGAACCTGCGTTTGCGTCCTCCTCTTCAACCAGGAACTCCTCTTCTCCTTCGTCTCCTCCTTGCTCGAGAATGTAGAAGATGTTCTGACGTGAAACTTTCGGCCGTCGGAGTCTTCGGCATCTCGTATGTGCGATGTTCAAGCTGGATGTTCCGCAAAGACATTGCGGACAATTAGTCTCAATGAAGAAGAACTGTGCAACGAGGCTGTCATTGAGTGGAAACACCTCGCGGTGTCTTTGTTCAGCGTTCCACATATGTTCTCAGTGTTTCCGGGTCGTCTGGCCTCAGGACTTGCATGGGCGGTGCTCCAGCCTGAGTCGTTGCTGAGGCTGCCCTGCTCTTCTGTTATTTGCCTTGCACTGGTTGGAGATAATCTGGCGACTGTGCCGCGCGTCAGATCATTCCATCATGATTGCAATCTTCATGGCAAGATCCCGAGCTTGGAGTTGAAAATGAGAAAATCGGTGTTGCGTCTCCCGTGATAGAAGCAACTGAGGAGCCGATAAAGATACACGTGGGTCGCTCCTTCAGGAAGTGCTTCTTCTGCGTGTTATTGAAGTGGTTGACTCCTTCAGTTGGATGTCGAAGTATTGCCAAGCAGCCCGCGGTACGTGAGTGCATCGCTCATGAGTTTGCTTTTGAGGAGAGGTCCCTAAAGCTCTGCTTCAACGGGTCTGAACGAGATCTAATCACCAATGAGTTCCTCGCATCTACACCAGCTGACCAGCTGACGTTTCCGGGCAGCTGCCTGGCGGTCATCGATGAGTTCAGCGTTTCTTCAGTGCTGCCGGCAGGTCGGCCTGCACTGGCGTAGGTCTCCATGCTCCATCTGGCGACATCTTGTCTGATTCTTGCCAACTAATGTTGACCTCATATTTAGAAACCCCCGCGTATTTGCACAATCCAAATCCCAGAACGTATTTAGAACCCCCCCCCCCCCGTAATTGCACAATCCGGCTTGGCCCAGGAAATCCCAGAAAAAGGCTCAGCTCCTAGTGCGTGACTGAAAGCGAAACAGGCAAGGCAGCAACTCCCTCAAAGCAACACCCGCGGCTGCGACGTGCTTTTGTTCTGCGTGCCCTCACCGGCGCCAAACCTGCCAGGCCCTGCGATTCACCCAGCCACAAAAAGTCGTGTTGAACGAAGGCGCTGACCAACAGCCAGGTAAGGAATCTCCGGGATGCGCCGGAAGCTTCTAATTACGGGCCCCCCGCCGTACAACCTTAGGGGGTGGGGGGGGGCGGCGTTTCTAAATATGAGGTGGACATTAATCTCTAAGGAGAAGAGACCCAGTGGTAACACTCTCCATGGCCCCGGATCTGTTTCAGGGAAGAATCTGATGTCTGATGGATCCTCAATTGTACTGGAAGCCCCTGGTATATGTATTGTTGGTGTTGATACGCGTGGAGCGAAGTGCAGGGAGCTCCCTTTTCCATGGCGAGCAATGAATGCTCCGCTACTAGAAAGAAGGGCCTTGAGCCACAATGGTTACACGTGTGAAATGTGATTGCCATAAGGTCAATGGCCTGGAAAACAGAGAACAACCCCACGCCCCCGCGATTCGCGGCCAAGGGACTGCAACTTGGAGGCAAGAGAGGGGTACCCCACAAATGGTGCTTTACACCACCCCCAAGCTCAAGAAAATGGCACATCCATGTGGTCAGCAAAATGTCCTGAGGAGTATCCACATGATGCTAGGCTGCCCACTGCTCCTGGTCCTGGCTCTGAAATTCGGGCTCCAGCAAAGAGACATAAGTTCCTTTCCATGAGTTGTTTGCGCATTCGATTCTGAGAGTTCGAATGAAAGATTTGATTGGCTGGGCCCCATTGGCAACGTTTTCCTTGCCAAAGCTCAGGGCAAGCTAGATCATTCCAGCCGATAGGGAAGGGATTGAATACAATGGCATACTTTCCGCTAGGATCCTGCGAGAAGGTGTCCGGTCGGTTTTCTTTCACTCAAAGCGGGGGTTGGGCCGTGTTGGTTTGCCCCCGAAGCCCCCGAAAGAAACGCCAAGCCGCTTCTCGAAGAGCTGCTGCAAACGTGCACGAGCCATTCTTAGGTCGCACCCTCTGAGCCGAGCACTCCGGGGTGTCGGCTTGGTAAAGACAGTCGTTGAGCGCGAGCCAACCAAAGTTGAAGAACCACAATGCTTGCAAACATCCAGGGGTTGATTCCCCAATTCCTTGCAACCATCGTTCTTTTCAAACACCAGCAGTTTCCCTGGGTGTTTGATGGTTTCCTGAAAAGAAGGATCCCTGGAAAGTATGGGGAAGGTACTCCTAGAAAACCGCCATGTGCCTCCTGGGTCATTTGGTAGACATGTCCCAAAGGAAGCATGCATATTTCTTGGGGCCGGATGCTATCGTCCAGTTACACCTTGCGCGATTTCAAGCAGAACTTTGCAACAGGGGCAGCTCCTGCCCACGGCTATGCGCTCTTTCCATGCGGATTCTTCCTGATTCGACCGGGCTTTCCCGAGACAATCGAAGCTGTGTAGCCGAGGCATGGGATAAGCCACACCTCTACCTTTCAAATGGATGTGCGTGCTTTTGTTCAAACTACCTTGTGTAAAATGTGTGTAAAGGGAAGCCAAAAGAACCACCATTTCAGGGGTCCCCATATTTTCATCACATCTGCAACTCTGCATAGGTTGCACAAAGGATTCCCCAGAACCCCGTGACCACCCCTGAGCAAAATAACCAGCACTGACACTGGCCTCTTTGGCTTATCCTCCTAGCGCTCAGCTCTTGCACCACTTTCAAACCGTCGGTGGGTGTGCAGTTTTGCACACCCACATACGTCTGTATATATATATGTATATATATATATATATATATGCATATATATATATATACGTACATAAAGCAATCAGCACATCTATAGATAGAACAGAGAACAACATGGCCGTTTTTTGAGTAGCTGACACCGAAAAACTGGACGGCGTGCTGTTCATTTCTCTCAAAGCCCATTTTCAGGTGTCCCGAATGTTAGGACACGGGCCACGTTTGCTTTATGAATTTCCTCGGCGTCCTTGGCGCACCTAGGCTTCGGCGTCTGACTCCTCGTCGCTCTGATCGTCGTCCGCCTGCTCCTGTTGAGTTGAGAGCCCTAGAGTTCTTTGGGTTCCCTTAGGGTTGCTTAGGATGACCTTCAAAAACCGTACTGTGAGTGGCCGAAATCCTGCACCACTTGGGATGAAATCCTGCAAATACTGGGATACGCCACCTACGATGGATTTTGTCCATCCACAGTAAGGAACCACCTCCCCCGCCCCCTCCTCGCCCCCCACACCGTACTCCTGGTCTGGCTCTGGTCGCGCCGCGGGAGGGCCATCGATGGGACACACCGTCAGCGTGAAGATCTCTGCCTCGTCGTAGGGCATGTAGAAAGTACCGCCGTTGCCTCGGAGAGACGAACATGAAACTTTACGTCAGGCTGAGGGTTGTGCTTGGCGAGTATCCCCACACTGGACTTGCAGCTTGAACAGGTGATAGGAATATGTTCGAGCATCGCAGCTCAAGAAAGCAGATTGATCAGGCGTGCGGTTTGGCCCCTTTTCCTTGCTTACGCATTTTGGCGCCTGAGACGGGTCCAGGCATCCGCAGCATCGGCACACGCCAGCGGCAACACGACCCAGGCCCAACACCCCCTTTTTGCAGCAACCTTCTCGCATGTCGAGGTCTCCAACCATGTTTGGATGGCGTTGTGCGTTTCTCATCTGTTTGCCACGTGGATGTGGTGTTTTCAGGTTGGTTCTTTGAGGTTACCATTTTCAGGTTGGTTTAAAGGTAAAATAAAAAAGACAAATATGAAAAAGATGCTTTACCCATCTTGGGGGTTATCAGTGCTCCAAAACTCATGTGAGCCATCTCTCTCTCTCTCTCTCTCTTGAGGCTTCCTTATTCCAGGGGCCAAGGCCGGCTGGTGTTCATACCCCTCTCACTCTCCTTTCTTGCGGTATATACCCCTTATAAAGTGGGTTGGAAACCAAGGAAGCCAAGGGGTATGAACAAGGGTATGTACTTCCACCAAAAACCGCCTTAGGAAGCCTTGGGCTTCTGGTTGCACAAAAACCGACTAGGTTGATGAGCATCCCCACCAAACCCACGGCACCAACACCAACCGCCCGGCCAAGCGCTGAGCACCTGGCGGAGGTTTGTGTCCAAGCGCATCCAAAGCCCCACATTCGCCCACATGGCGCCCCCCACGTCAGCCCAGTCCTCGAGACAGAGGGTAAAGCTTGGGTATTCCAAAAATCCGGGGGACGGGCCAAATAAATACCTAGCTTTACCTAGCTTTCCTCGAATCCCTTGACCTCCAAAGAGCACATCTCAGTAGATTTTACCCCCTTTCAGGCCTCTGAGGGTCGCAAAGGGGCTTCCAAGCCGGCAACGGCCTGCTCAAGGGGTCCCAAGATACCTTAGTGGCCTTTTGCGGACCGAACGGGCATCCAAACGAAGGAAGCCCCCCTTTCGCCTCTGAAAGTTGTCTTCACAGAGCTCAAGCGCACAAACCGACTTGGGTTTGAATTTGGATAAGGGATCCTTTGGTAGACATCATTTAAGTGAGGATTCATGTACACCAGCCACTTGGAGATGGTTCACTGTTGAATGTAATAGCCAAATTGGGGTGTGTCTTGTTTGGCGGGTATCCAGTTGTTCTTGGTTCTAATAAGGAAACCAAGAGGAAGCCAACCGCTCTTGGGGCTCCCCGATTTTGAGACAAACCCAAATGAGCAGCGCCTTTCGGTTCTACCAACATGGATAAGGTTTTTTCTATCCCATACAACCCATAGGTAGAATCACCCACGCGCTATGAGGATCTCACTCCTCGCGCCCGGACCTTGATTCTTGCTCGCCAAGCATCTCCCGTCCACTCGGATTTGCCCCACGGGTTCCTCAACTGAACCAGCCTCAGAGGCGTACCGTCGTCCATCTTTTCCTCCAACACCTGCAGCCTGAAAAGAAAGGACGATCCGAAGCCATGCTTGAAAGGGAAAATGAAGGAAACCCGAAAAGTTGGCAAAAAGGTGAGACCTCAGTCATGCAACAAGGCGTAGGCGTGCTTCTTGTAGAGGCCCTTCTTGGTCGCCTTCGCGCATCGCGTGTTGAACAATATTTACCGCGGGAGGTAACCGGGGAACCACTTCAAACTAGGGGGCACCAAAAAGCTGTGTGTGGCTTTCCTGCTGGGTTTCCCCTTAAACCAACCCCAGAAGAGTACCTTTACAACAACAAACAGGCCATTTAGTGCCACAAAGAGAGCCCACACTTTCCACCGGGATCTGCAAATGCCAATCCATTCCAAGACAAAAATCCCTTTGTGTCTCCACATGCAAGACCCTCAGAATTGCTGGTGTTCCTTTTGTTCCCCTTTACAACCACCCAAATCTCGGCCCTCTTAAAAGAGACAAACCCATTTTCCAGCATTATCCATTTGGTACGCGCTCACTTAGCCTGACCACAAATTCCGGCGAACCATGAGTCCTCCAAACCCTGAGTCTGTAGGAACTCGTGTCAGAACGGGCATGACCTTCCGGATTGGATTGCCTCTGTGTGGATGTCTTACAATTACTGGCTTCGGTTTTTGTCTTGGCTTCCCTTTCAACCAACCCCCATCCGTGTGGCAGACGATGTAGAGAAACCGAGGCTCCCGTGTTTTTTTTCTCCAGGACTATCAAGTGGACATCCGATCTTTGCTCGAACCTTCAAGTGTTGAATCTTACTCGTGAGGATCCCCTGAAAGGCTCACAGCTTGCATCTTCACACAGTGAACAGCGAAGACCATGCAAAAATCGTCATGGCGCTTCTAGCCAGCACCAGTTTTGCCTTGATCTCAATGCCCAAGCCTCAACCGCAAGTCGCAAACTTGAGGATCACTGGACCCTTGTACTTCCACGGATTCTTTGCTTCTCACTTTTCCCGCCTCTCTCCGTTTTCGCGTTCGGCGTGCGGATGCTGCAGGACAGGACGCTCCTCAACAACCGCTGGACGCCCCTCTGGAGGCTCTGAGAAGTATGTCCAAGGTGTTACGTGCTCGGGATTGCTCTACGTCAAGCCCAAAAGAAGCGGAGCAGAGTTTCCCGGCAGCAGATGTCCCACGCATGGCATTTCATCGCATGTCGTTTGTGCTGAAGCCTTGACACGAAGGCATTGAACATTGAACATGGTCTTTGGTCAGACGCACGGCATGCGATGCAATCACACAGTGAAAGCTTGGACCAAAGGAGCCAAGCAAGTCAGTTCAGCACACCAACTCTTGGGGTGCACTGAACATGCCAGGGTCAGGCAACATGCATTGCCAGGTCGAGGTGCTCAACGAGGGACGACTCGAGTAGACACGACAACGTCAAGCCATCGAGAGTCCCAAGATCCATCTAGTTTGGAGGTGTGGTTAGGGGTGGCTTCACATTCACACACAACAACAGGGGGTTCAAATCCAAATCCAAGCCTTTTCTGTGCTCAGATCCCCGTGCTAAAAGTGTAACTGTTAGTGGGTTAACAACCACTAAACCTACTAAGAAGCGAAAAAAAGCCAAGGAACCGGACGGCTGGCCGCCGCCAAGCAACCAATCCAACCTATTGGCAAATGGTCTCTCCCTGGGGCCCCCGCTGGGCAGCTACCTTCAGCCACGCGAAGAGCTCCGCTGCAAGGAACGGCTCTTTGTTGTGGTAGGACCAGGGGTGGTTCCGGGGATTCCGGGCGTTCGCCTTCACTTGACGAGCACCTCGGAACACGAATTCAAAGCCGAAGTCACACCCCAAGCTTGAAGGAATCCCCAGTACAAAAGTGGCCCATGGCGGACAAGAAACCATATCGGCTGGTGTCATTGCGGACCCGCGTTTGCCGTCTTTTTCAGGAGGGAACCAAGAGACCAAGGGGTACGGATAGCTACGCATGCTGGTCGCATCGACGCTGCACTGCAACGTGGTGTGAATTTCAAGAGCAGACCCTTTGGTGGGCATCATTTAGGTGGGGATTCATGTGCACCACCCACTGTTCAGGCCAAATGTGAAAGGCTCCAACCAGAGTGACAGCGGACGCTAATGACGGAGTTTTGAGCACCTGTGCTCAGGCTGTCAAAAACTGCCAGGTGGCACCCTTTTCCCAAAAGGATTCTCATGCGGGCAAACCAAAACCCGTCGAATTCTTGTTTTGTCCAACACTTTGAAGCCTTCAGGCTGCTCAAAATGCCGAGCCCAATTGGGCTCAAAATGGACCTCCTTTTGGATGCTAAAAGTACACTGACAGGAAACAAACCCGGATAGCCCCATTAACACACAAAGGGTGAGGGGCCACACCCACGCAGCGCCTTCAATCCGAGCATCGGCTGATGAAGCGCTTCAGCCAACCTTTCGGCTTTTTGTTGAAGGAAACCACGTCCTCTCGCCCGGTCATCACTTGAAAGGCCCAGGCAGCAGAGCCACCTGAGTTGAAACATCCTCGTGACATGATTTGAGCTGCCGCGTGGGAGCAAACCTTTAGCACCACTGGTTGTGACCATCTTGGTCACTGACTGGCGAGCCCAGGAAAGAAATCCCCAACAAATGAGAGACTCCTGTGCAAATGTCAATCTGGGGGGATTGGGGTGCTCCATCTGGGTATGTATCAAAATAGGGGAACCCTAAAAGGGTGTTTCTTATTGTCCTTTGAACCACCCCAAAACGAGTCTCAAAAAAACACGCATGCTATCTGACAGGGCTGCCTAAAAGGCCCTTAAACTCCCCAACAAGGTTTCCTTATCCAAAAGTCGCCTATGTTCAGAACCTACCCAAGAAAAGAGGTCATGTCGAGTTGGTGGTTTGATGTGGCTTGGATTGGTGGCTACGGGTTGAGACGCTCGTTTGTCGGGATCCCTCTGCACGAGGCGCCTGAAAGCATGGCATAGGTCCCGCAGAACTTCGCCATCGCCTTCTCCAAGAGCAACACCCAGAGCTCCTTCCGGTCAGCTTCCCTCGTTTGGATTTGTGCTTCACCAACTGAACCAAAACAAACTATTGCTTGGCTCTTGGCTTCTGTCAGCAACAATCAGCTTCCCAGGCGGCTTGGTGGTTTGACAATCCAGGTTTTTGCTCCATGGCTCCCATGTTTGGGCGTTCCACGCAGTTGTGCAGGCGTTCCACGCAGTTGTGCAGGCGTTCCATGCCTGGGCGGTGAAACCCATTTACCCTCGACCAGAAGCACTCAAATCCCCAAACCACCAATCCGAAACCACCAAGTAAGGATTACTTGAGTCGGGGTTCTCCAGAAATAATCTCTTCCGGCTTTTCTGGTCCATATTCAGTCTACCCAAAACATAGAGTGCTTTCGGAGGAGACCCAGAAGTAGAGAGGGACTTCTAAAATGGGCGGTGCTCGTTTTGGTTTGTTTATATATATATATATAGGTACCAAGCCGATACGGGTACTTCGAACAAACTAACACTTAAATAACTTGGGCCAAGTGGGAGGTGTTCAGCACTCGCATGTTTCACGTGAGTCATATTCAAAACCTGGTATTAAAATGGTCTACCCAAATCCATGTAAGGAAATCAAAAGGCAGCCGCAACTATGTGTGGCCGGGATTATCGAATGGTTGTGGGAAACAACCCCACCAGAGTGAAATTTGCATTCCCGTGACTACTTGATCATTTTGAAGGGAATCCCTTGGCCGCTCACAGAAAACCGCAACCTGCACCGACATCTCCGCAACCATGGCTCCTCCCCCATGGGCTTTGCATAGACTGGCTGCGGCCGCCCCCTCACCTCAGCCAACGCTGGAAGGCAGATCTTCGGCGGTAAACGACTCCTGGACTGAAATACACTGGAAACGAGGAAAACAGAAAAGAAACCACACAAAAACACACAAACACAAAGTCACAAAATCAAACTAGGAACACAAGCCAACCAAATCAACTACAACGCAAACACACAACATAGTGAACCAGCAACACAAGGCAATAGAACAAACAACACCGTGGCGGCTACTAAACAGCAAACAAGCCAGCAATGAACAACGCAAATCACAAGAACCCAAAACGGCAGGACAAAGCAGCACACGCAAACACCACCACGTGCGCGCAAACACCCACACACACACGCACCCACCCACCCACCCACCCACCCACCCACCCACCCACGCACGCACGCACGCACGCACGCAAAACAAACAAATAAACGCCGAAACGCAAACACAATCACACACCAAACAAAAGCATGATAGTCGGGTCAAGCTTACCATGGTTGTCTAGCATCTAAGGTCTATGACTATCCCTACTCACCCCAAGCAAGCGAATCAGTCTTTTCGCCGCGGCACATAAATGTGTGCTTTCTTCAGGCTCGGCACCCTTTGAACATTTGTGTGAAGCGAGGCCGAAAAGAAGACCCGCCCAGTTCCCCCGCCCACCACCACCATTTGTCCACATCTTGGCCCGCATCCGGGGTACTATCCGGGGTACTGAAAACAAACATGTTCTGCTTCTCATTCAACCCACCATGCTTGGAGGGCTGCAGGGGGATTCTATCTATTCCATGAGGCAGGGACCTGCCAACACACCATGCTGCGCATGGCGCGAGCGATTGAGGATGGGGTAAGCCGTAAATTTGTCTCCTAAGTAGCAATTGGACCAACCGCTTTTCTTGGGGTGGCTTCCCTTGAAAAACCCGTAAAGCTTGGGGGCTGAATCCGTTTGACACGAGGTATCAACCTCCAATGTCCAGTGCCTCGGGCAAGAAAGGCGGGCAAGACAGCCTCCAACGCATCCGGCCAAGAGAAACCCAACGCAACCGCCCCTCCCCCGTTGTGTGAGCGTGAGGCGCTTCTCAAAGAGTTCCGCCAGGCGCTGCTTGGACATGGCGCGGAAGCTCCCGCCCTTCTGACGCCAGGAGCCGCCAGGCGCATTTCTTGAACCATGCGACCCTCGCGCGCGGAAAGAGAATGATGCTCAGCGCTATGTTTCGGCACCTCACATGATAGTTTCGGAGGCCTGCCAGTTTCAAAAATATCAAGCGAGGATGTCAGCAGGTGTAGGGGGAGCCAAAAAATTGTTGGCTCACAGCGTCTCATTTTCCGCTCCAATTCCCGGCTCCCAGCCTGATGAGTATCCAACGTCGCGTCTGAGCCTTAGAG